GTGGTTGTATGCAATGGACAGGTGGTTTCGTAATCACCCCACCAAGGAGGAGAGGAAGGCGCATCTGGCGTCCTTCTATCTGGAGGGGGATGCTCTACAGTGGTGGGAATGGTTGGAGAGATCCTACGCTCAGCAGGGGACCCTGATCACTTGGCAAAGGTTCTAAGACGAGCTTCGATACCAGTTTGGTAAGTCGGATGGGTGGGCCCCAGTGTAGTTGGCTAAGCTTCGACAGACTGGAACGATAGCAGAGTATAGGGCGAAGTTCTTCAAGTTGGGTAACCAGTGCAAGGGTGTACCAGAGGAGACACTCGTCGGGCTGTGCATGGCAAGACTCAAACCGGAGATTGCATCTGCAGTTAAGGTTTTCGAGCCTAAATCGATGAAAGCATCTTTTCGTCTTGCAGGTCACAAAGAGGATGAGATAGCCAACTTGCAAAGCAACATTGGCCGATATCAGAGGCGAATTGGCGGCGAAAGCACTTCTGTTGGTGGTGGCGGGAGAGGTCAGTCTAGCGCTAGTGGCGGGGCAACCACGGGTGCGAGCAACGACGTGGGGGCGACGACTCTGCTAGGACCGCGAGCTCCATCAAAGGGCTTCGTTCGACTGTCCCACGCGGAGATAGATCAGAAGCATAGGGAAGGCAAATGCTTCAACTTCAATGAGTGATTCACGGTGGGGCACAAGTGTGAGAATCCGGAGATGATGATGTTTATTGACTGTTGGGAAGACAACGACGCCGAGGAGGAGGCAGCCGGGTTCGATTGGGTGGCTAATACTAAGGAGGAACACAAGTGATCGCGATCTCAATCTTGAGGTCAAGGTTGTTCGTAAGGAGGCGGGGATGATGGAAACATGTATTTTCCATATTTAGTCATTTTTCGGTTGTTACTTGTTAAACATTCATTGGGGGAATATTGGATGGTTTAGATGTTTAGGGTAACATTCGGTAATTAGCGGATTATATAAATACTTAGCTAGTGGGTTATAATACCACTAAGTAGAATAATAAACCTAATAACTATCTCTCTCTTCCTCCTCCCAGCAGAACCTCCTTTCCCCTCTTCCCTAGCTGCTGGCCAACACTCTTTTCCTCTCTTCTCGAATTATTTTCCCAACTCCCAAATCCCTAGTTCTAATAGGTGATCAACCCCTAGTTGATCTCCTAATTTCCTATCCATAGGTAGAGCCGAATCTTTGGTTCTATCACCTTGCAGGGACAACCTTAACAGGACTGGAAAGGAAATATGTTGTTGACTGTGACCCTAAGGAAGAGAAGTAGTATTTTTTGCAATGGATTTCTTTGCATGGAATATTTTTTTAGCATGTTGGATATTTTCCCCCTTATGGATTTTCTTCTTTTCTTTCTCAAGTGTGGTTCATCATTGCCAAATTGATCTCAAGGTTAGTCTAGTTTGAATGCTACTCTGTATGCTATGAATGAAAAGATACTGAGAAGGTTGAGGTTTCTGTCTTGCATGTTGATGTGTTGTTTTTTTGCCCATCAATTTGGAGGATTGGACTTTTATATAATTTTATCATCTACATGTTTTTATTTAACAAGTATTGATTGGTTACTTATGTTTCATCGATTTGAAAAAAAAATTGGATGCTTTTATCAGTGATAGTGCTATCAAATAAATGCTATTTGAGTTTGTTACTTTCAACAAATTAGAATATCTGATGCGGAATGGAAGGGTTTCTACGAACTAAGAAAAATAAGAGCTAATTCTGGGTTCCAATCTTCTCCATCTTATAATTATAAACTTAAATAGAGTTTCTACAATCCTTATCCATGATGTGCAAGAAAGAAATAGTCCAAATCCAAAGTAAACTAGGAAACCAACTTCCTTAAGACAACAATAATGATAATGACGAGTTAGTTCGTGAACCGCAGGTTGGGCTTGGGCCAGCGATTTGACCACCGTGGCCCATGCACGTCCTCGTCTGCCACCCCGGTCTCGTTGGCTGGACCTGGTTCCCCTTGTGGCGCCTCCTCTCGTGGATCCTCATCCTCCTGAGCTCGTTCCTCATCAATCCCCCCTTTAAAGCGCGACCTTGTCCCCAATGTCAAATTCAGGGAATCCGCGACGAATCTCCTCGTAGCTCTCCCATGTGGCCTCCTCGAGCGGCAAATGGCGCCATCGTACTAAGCATTCTTCGATCACTCCTCCTCGCACTCGGGTCCAGCGGTGGTCCAGCACTTCCTGTGGAAGAATCTCCAGCTCCCCGTCGTCATTAAGGTGGCGCATCGGCGAGCACAATTTCTGGATCACCCACATATTTCTTGAGTAGCGACACATGGAAAACCGGATGAATCCGTGCTCCCTCGGGTAGCTCTAACCGGTAGGCTACCTCGCCCACTCGTCATAGAACACGGTAGGGCCCGAAATATCGTGCGACAAGCTTCTGAGATGCTCGCTTAAAGATCGTAGACTGGCAATACGGATGGAGGCGCAACAAAACCCACTCCCCCTCCTCATACGTCACGTATCGCCTACTAGCATCAGCTAGTTGCTTGGCTTTCAAGTTAGCTGATACTAAGTTCGTCCGCAGATTAGCCAAGGCCGCATCTCTTTCGTGTAATAACTCATCGACTCCTACTACTAAGCTGGCCTGCACATGATATGGAATGACCGTTGGTGGTTCACGAACGTAGAGGGCTCAGAATGGGGAGGTTCCTATCGTGCGATGGTACGTGGAATTGTACCAAAATTCAGCCAAAGGAAGCAACACTAGCCATCGCCGTGGATGTTGCTGCGTAAAACAGCGCAGGTACTGCTCCAAACATCAGTTAACTACTTCAGTTTGACCGTTCGTCTGCGGGTGGTAGGCCGTGCTCATGAGCAACCTTGTCTCTAACTGCAAAAAATCTCCTTCCAAAAATTGCTCAAAAATACTTTGTCACGGTCGCTTACAATAGTTGCTGGTATCCCATGATGCCGAATGACCCCATCAATGAAAGCCTCCGCCACGGTTTTTGCCGAATAAGGATGGCCGAGAGCTATGAAGTGACTGTATTTAGTCAAGGGGTCAACCACGACAAACAAAATTGACTTGCCTGCTACCTTTGGCAATCCCTCCACAAAATCCATGGATACCTCCTCCCACACTCGACTCGGAATCGGCAACGGTTGAAGTAAGCCTGTCGATAGAAGCCCGGCCACCTTAACTCGTTGGCAGATATCGCACGATCGAATGTAGTCGCGCACAACCCTAGACATTTGCGGCCAGTATTAATGACTAATTAGCCGCCGCATGGTTCGTTCTACCTCGGAATGCCCTCTTGCCGTGGAATCATGGTACTCCTTGAGAACTGTAGTTACCAATGATGAATGAGGAGGCAAAATGATGCGCCCCTTGCAAATAATCAACCCATCTCGAAGCTCATAGTCCCCGGGGTCATCCGATAGTGCCTTGTCACGTAGACCCTTTAAGTAAGGATTGCTCACCACCGCCTGTCGCAATTCTTCCCATAGCGTGGCTTCCGGTCGTGTGATAGCTTGGAGGTATGCATATCCCACCCGTCTTGAGAGTCCGTAATGGACCTTGAAATCATACGCCATAAGTTTTGTGACCCACTTGTGCTGGTTAGGGGTGGTAATACGTTGTTCAAGCAGGTGCCGGAGGCTTTGCTGGTTGGTGAATATGTGGAATGTTCGGCCGAGCAAGTAAGGTATCCATTGTTGCACTGCAATGACGACCGCTAGCATCTCTTTTTGATATGTTGACCATGATTCCTTCTTGGGTCCAAGGAGACAGCTCATATAAGCGATGGGGTGTCCATTTTGTGATAGCACTGCTCCTATCCCCTTTCACGATGCATCCGCCTCGATAACAAAGGGTTTCTCGAAATTCGGCATCGCCAATGTGGGTGTGGTGGTCATTTCTTGTTTCATGCCTTCAAAAGCTGTCGCGGCTTCCTCACTCCATACGAACCCACCCTTCTTAAGCAACCTATTTAGAGGTCGTGCAGGAGAGCTGTAGCCCTTGACGAATTTTCGGTAGTACCCGGTTAAACTAACGAACCCTCGGAGCTCGGTTACATTTTGTTGTGCGGGCCATTCGATCATGGCCTTAATTTTCGAATTGTCGACGTGGACCCCTTCTGATGAAATAATGTGCCCCAAGTATTCCAGTCGTTGCAAACCGAACACACATTTTGACTTCTTGAGATAATACTAATGCTAGCATAGGATGTCTAAGACGACCTTGAGATGACTGAGGTGTGTCGCCCAGTCCTTGCTGTAGATTAAGATGTCGTCAAAGAAAACCAGTACGTACTTGCGGAGGATGGGTTGGAAGATATCATTCATTGTCGATTGAAATGTCGATGGTGCGTTGCATAGACCGAATGGCATGACGAGGTACTTGTAGTCCCCGCTATGTGTTCGAAAGGTTGTTTTATGCAAATCTTCTGCTCGCATTCGTATTTGATGATACCCCGCACGTAGGTCGAGCTTCGAAAAGTACTGAGAACCATGGAGCTCATCAAGCATGTCTTCCACCGTGGGAATGGGAAAGCGATCCCTAACAGTAACCTTGTTCAGAGCTCGATAATCAGTACAAAACCGCCAGGTGTCGTCCTTCTTCTTGACTAAGAGAATAGGGGATGAGAACGGGCTCGAGCTCGTTTGAATGAGACCTGACCCTAGCATCTCGCTAACTGAAAGACCGTTAATTACACATGTTTTTACCCCTGTTCTTACACCGTTTGAGAAGTGGTTTCTCGTGTTTTAGGCCGATTTCACGCTAGGTTGTGCTTGTTTGTGATATTTCAGGTCCTAGTACGTGAATGGAGGCTTGGGAGCGAGTTTGGGGTCGATTGGACGAAGATCGGACGCGTGGCGAGGTGCTAAGGAAGCCACACGGGCATTCCTGGACACCACACGGCCGTGCAACTCACCCTTGTGGCCGTGTGGTTTGTGCCGAGAGCAAACACGGGCAGGATGGAAATTCTACACGGCCGTGTGACCCTGGCTGTGTGGGAAGCCTGAAATTCAACTAATTGATACGCCGCGTTTTGAGTCACACGGGCAACTGGGTGAGCCACACGGCCGTGTGGCCTGCTGATGACTCGGTATTTGCACATGTTTTCCCCTTTGTTTCTTGATTGTTTCAGCTTGAATTATCGTGTCTTTGGCCTATTTTATGCTAGGTTGTGTTCCTTTGTCACATTTCAGGTCCTAGCACATAAAGTGAAGCATAGGCGCAAGTTTCAAGTCAATCAGAGATCAATTGACGATTCGGGAGAAGAAACTCGGGTATGACCTGAAGAAGAATGGATTTATACCTCACTTTATGGACAAATAATCATTCAAGCTTGTCATGAAAAGAAAGAGGACGAGACTACGAGCGTCTGGGATCAAACGGCGACTGATTCGGAGTCCGGACGAGGGAGAAACGAAGCATTAAACAGAGGCTGAGCAAGCCACACGGGCACAACCCACACGGCCGTGCAAGGGGCACTTTTGCCCGTGTGGAATTCCTCGAGCCTTCACACGGGCAGCTGGGAAAGCCACACGGCCGTGTGGCCAGGCCGTGTGAGTCGGGAATTGATGTTTAAAACCCCATTTTCAGCAAAAGGAAAGGGGGAGAGCTGGGTTTTGGATCCCAAACACCCAAGGGACGAACCCTAGAGAGAGAGAGCGACTTGGGAACATTCTTGGAGCTATTTTGGAGGATTTCTTCGCCATTGGAGCTCGGGAATCAAGCTTGGAGATGGAGATTGAAGATCTAGATCAGATTTTGGCAGTCTCTCTCTTCTCTATGGAGTAACTTCCCTTCATTTAGGTTTTGAGGAACCCTAGTTCCATGAGTTAGGATCTTTCTTGTATGAAGTTTTGGATGCTATATTGTTTGATTATAATCGATTGAGGCATGATTTATTGAGTCAATTGAATCTTGATCAAATTCTCTTGATTTCTGCTTTAACCTATGATAGATAGAATCTGATTAGGTTAAGAGAGCTTCCTTGATTGATAGTGGTGAATTGGTTGTGCGAGAGTCAATCAATTCACTGCTTTGTATTGGAATTCATTCCAGTAGTGGAGTTCTGTGTTCATAGCCTCAGCTTTCTATCCTGGTGAAGACTAGTCGTCTGCCGGGTAGTTGGACTGAGAGGGCTTGGTCAGCTTAAGAGATTCCAAGCTAATTTAGGATCTTCCGCAGTTTAATCAACAGTAGATCAACCAAAGGTAATTGCAACTTGGACCTAATTGAGGAGCTAGGGGGAATCATACCTAAGTGAGTTCCCAACTTGTAATTAGTAGAGTAATCAGTAGAGTAGTTTATCAATCAATCCTTAATCTAGTTTGCTAGATAATGAACTGAAGCTGAGTAATAGTAACTCTAGAGACCCGTGGATTCGATATTTATTACTTGTGCCACTATACTGCAGCCTCTTTCATTGGTTACACTTGGCCATTGTTAGGTGTTGTGTTTTAGCGAGTCAAGTTTTTGGCGCCGTTGCCGGGGACTTTCTAGATTATTAGGAAAGGCAGAAGTTTGTTACTTTAGCGTTTTTCTTTTGTTTTCCGCCCTTGCTTTTCACTTGGGTGTTTTTTGTTTTTGTTGGTGCAGATCTGAATCATGGACCCTCATGGCTTCTCCAATCATTGGGGGTATCCACCACCATCCGAGTGGTATTACCCCGAGACTCCCTGGAGTAACCAAGGAGGAGAAGACTATGGAGTCGGGTTCCAGTACCAACCCCCTTTCTATGGAGAACAATCAGACCCCTGGGCATATCAAGAACAACCTCCTTATCGAGAAGAATTTCTCCCACAACCAGAGGGGCCATTGGAGCTGGAGTTACCCATGGCGGCCTTCACGGGCCATTCTGCAGAGCCATGCTACACTCCACAGCCAGATCCAAACTATGAATTGAGGCTTCTCATGGAGCAGTTTGCTCGAGACTGTGAGAGATCATGCTCCAGGATGGATCATTGTGTCCAGGCCTATCGTGAAACAGAGGAGATCCTCCTGATCCTTAAAAAGAGCGTCGATGATCTTGAGCGATCTTGTGCACAACCTGCTCTAGATCACCCTTATGTTACCATACTAGAAGAGGAGGAGGAAGAAGAAGGCTACAAGGACATTGTGGAGCACACTGAAGCTGTCACGGAGAGCTCTCGTGATGATCATGATCAGGAATGTCCTATCATAGCCGACCACACCTTCCCACATCCCACACCGAGCTTTGAAGAGGCGGGCATGAGTGAGGAGATGCAAGAAGATCTCATGAAAGAAATTGCTTGGCAACTTGCTCTCCAATCCGTGCTAGAAGAAGAAGAGCAAGAAAGGGTGCAGAAAGAAGTTGTGGAGGATGACGAAAGTGAAGCAGGAGGAGTTCTTGATCATTTCCCAGGGGTGATACCACATGTATAAGAAAGGGAGGTTGAAGAAGAAATTGGCGTCCAGGCTGAGGACGGAGTTAAGGTGGAAGAGGCCTGCACCGGCCATGAGTTACATGTGATATCTCCACCAAACTTCGAGGAGCTGCTTGGCAAGGACCCATTTGCAGTGTCTCTTTGCCAGACCAAGGCCACATCGACATCAGTCCCTCTTGGTGGACGTGATGGTGGCCAATCGATGCTGTCTTATCTGGTTTGGGGCAATGAGACGAGAGAAGAGAAGAAGAGGTCTCGAGGGTGGAGACTTCATCTGCATCAAGTGCACGAGCCTTCATCACCTGCCACACCACCTGCTTGTGACTTGAGACTCCACCTCATAGATGAGAACCTCAACTTCAAGGAGGTTCTAGCATGGACCGAAACTTAGGAGCCATCGTCCGGCTCACGACGTGAAAGAAGCGATTGTTGGGAGGCAACCCAACCAGTCGGTTTGCATTTCTTTCTCTATTTATCCTCGGTTGAGTCAGTTTTGTTATTTGATTTTAGAGTCAATAACTCAACCTTTGTGAGATTTTGTGTGGTGTTTGTGTTCTGATTACTCTCTCTTCTTGAAATGCACCGCCTGACTCGTCCATCATCATTCACCCTCGATCTGGTAACTTCGTTCTACCCTCCTTATCTTTCCTCCATTGAGGACAATGTCGTGCTTAAGTGTGGGGGGATTGGTGTTCGATTATGTATGCGGGTGAATGTCTGACTGTTTGTGTGCTTGGAGCCTAGTCCACTGTCCAAATTTTTAAATTTGAGGGCTCCAAGTACGTGTTTCCTTGCAAATTGCCTGCTCAGTATGCTTTGAATTGACAGTCTCTATAGTAATGTGCAACCTAGGGAGGTAGTGTAGCACTATGGAGGATGTTGAAGTATAAGATTTTTCCTATCTAGCTCTCTGCTGTGCCAGTTGATTTTGTGAATTAGTGGAGCTAAGACCGTTGAATTCATGCGGTAATGGTGACTCTGTTTGGATTGTGTTATGGACTCGTGTATCGAACAGGGTGCTCATGTGGAAAATGGGAAGTAGTTGGTCCTCCATGTCGAAATCATTAAAATCTTAAACATGGGGAAAGCCCAACGTGTGTGGCACCGTTCATTGCAAAAAATCGGGTTTTGGAAGAGATTTTAGTGATCCTTAGTGGGGTACTCCTACAAGGTGAAGCTAAGCTGTCTCTAGTACAAGTAAAACTTCCACCCGTTGAGCGGTTTGCCTACTTGAGGATGTGTTTTTAAGGGCACGGATAGAGCTTCCGACCCCCCTTAATTTCATTGACCCTCCACACGAGTTGAGGAAAAGGAGTTAAAAGAAGTACTCTGGCGAGCGCCAGATGTACAGAAATTGCTCTTGCTCGACTAATAAGGGTCGACCGTGCAAAAGACTGCAGTTGGAACCCCACCAAATGAAAGGAAAAAAAAGAGAAGAAATGTAAATGAAAGTGAGAAAAAGGGGTTCCAACGGTGAAATGAAGTGAAAGAGCACCCCGGTACAACGAGTCCTTGGTTGTGAATGGTGTGAGTCCCTTTATCCATGAACTGACTGTCTTACTTCTACTTTTTCTCATGATCCTGGCTTGAGTCTAGTACTCGCATTGAGAGAGATAGGGAACGTCTTAGAAGACCAGTTGACCTCGTAAGCTGCTATATGATCTAGGAAATCCTCTACCGACGATCGGGGTTGTATGTTGCTATAGAGCTCTAGAGAGCTGCATTGGTTTGAGTTAGGTTTGCTTGGGGACAAGCAAACAGTTAAGTGTGGGGGGATTTGATGACTCGGTATTTGCACATGTTTTCCCCTTTGTTTCTTGATTGTTTCAGCTTGAATTATCGTGTCTTTGGCCTATTTTATGCTAGGTTGTGTTCCTTTGTCACATTTCAGGTCCTAGCACATAAAGTGAAGCATAGGCGCAAGTTTCAAGTCAATCAGAGATCAATTGACGATTCGGGAGAAGAAACTCGGGTATGACCTGAAGAAGAATGGATTTCTACCTCACTTTATGGACAAAGAATCATGCAAGCTTGTCATGAAAAGAAAGAGGACGAGACTACGAGCATCTGGGATCAAACGGCGACTGATTCGGAGTCCGAACGAGGGAGAAACGAAGCATTAAACAGAGGCTGAGCAAGCCACACGGGCACAACCCACACGGCCATGCAAGGGGCACTTTTGCCCGTGTGGAATTCACCGAGCCTTCACACGGGCAGCTGGGAAAGCCACACGGCCGTGTGGCCTGGCCGTGTGAGTCGGGAATTGATGTTTAAAACCCAATTTTCAGCAAAAGGAAAGGGGGAGAGCTGGGTTTTGGATCCCAAACACCCAAGGGACGAACCCTAGAGAGAGAGAGCGACTTAGGAACATTCTTGGAGCTATTTTGGAGGATTTCTTCGCCATTGGAGCTCGGGAATCAAGCTTGGAGATGGAGATTGAAGATCTAGATCAGATTTTTGCAGTCTCTCTCTTCTCTATGGAGTAACTTCCCTTCACTTAGGTTTTGAGGAACCCTAGTTCCATGAGTTAGGATCTTTCTTGTATGAAGTTTTGGATGCTATATTGTTTGATTATAATCGATTGAGGCATGATTTATTGAGTCAATTGAATCTTGATCAAATTCTCTTGATTTCTGCTTTAACCTATGATAGATAGAATCTGATTAGGTTAAGAGAGCTTCCTTGATTGATAGTGGTGAATTGGTTGTGCGAGAGTCAATCAATTCACTGCTTTGTATTGGAATTCATTCCAGTAGTGGAGTTCTGTGTTCATAGCCTCAGCTTTCTATCCTGGTGAAGACTAGTCGTCTGCCGGGTAGTTGGACTGAGAGGGCTTGGTCAGCTTAAGAGATTCCAAGCTAATTTAGGATCTTCCGCAGTTTAATCAACAGTAGATCAACCAAAGGTAATTGCAACTTGGACCTAATTGAGGAGCTAGGGGGAATCATACCTAAGTGAGTTCCCAACTTGTAATTAGTAGAGTAATCAGTAGAGTAGTTTATCAATCAATCCTTAATCTAGTTTGCTAGATAATGAACTGAAGCTGAGTAATAGTAACTCTAGAGACCCGTGGATTCGATATTTATTACTTGTGCCACTATACTGCAGCCCCTTTCATTGGTTACACTTGGCCATTGTTAGGTGTTGTATTTTAGCGAGTCACCTGCCCGTGTGAGTTGGGAAATCTTGGTTTTTACCCAATTCCGAGCCACAAGTGAGAGAATCGGATTTTCAGAGCAAAAACAGAGCCCTAGAGAGAGAAAGTGCGAAGAACACATCCTAGAAGCTATCTTGGAGCTGGGTTTCATCAAATCGAGCTTGGAGATCGTCATAGGAGTGGAAATAATCATCCTAGAGCAGATTCTTCCCATTGTTATGAGTATGACTGCTTTGTATCCTGTTTTCTTCTCTCTCTCTATGGAGTAGAACCCTTCTCTCACTTGGGTATGAAGAACCCTAGTTCCATGTGTTAGGGATTTGATTGTAATGACTTGGGATGATTATACTGTTTGGTTTTAATCGAATGATGCATGTTTTATTGAATTGATTGAAGTCTGATCAGCTTTTCTTGATTTCTGCTGCAACCTGAGATAGATAGAATCTGATTAGGTTGTTAGAGCTTCTTCATTCGATAGTAGGAGATTGGTTATACGAGAGTTAGCCAGTCTACTGCTTTGTACTGGAATCCAACTCCAGTAGTGGAGTTCTGTGTCGTTGCTTCAGCTTTCTGTTCCGGTGAGGACTAGTCGTCTGCCGGGTAGTTAGACTGAGAGGGCTTGGTCAGCTTAAGAGATTCCAAGCTACTGTCGGATCTTCCGCAGTCTAATCAACAGTAAATCAACCCAGGGTAATTACAATTGAACCTAACTAAGGAGCTAGGGGGACTCATTTCCCGAGTGACTCTTCTTTGCTTGAGAAAACCGAATCATTTCCTGCTTTCTTACTGCTTTTAGTTTTAACAACAATCAATCGACTTAGTTGGCTAGATAATAGATAATCACGGAGTAGGCAGTAGATCTAGACCCCGGGTTGATAATAGAACTTGCCTGTTATTGCATTCCCGGACTGCGATTACACTTGGTCGCAGTTTGGTGTTGTGTTTTGGCGTGTCACTAACCTGTCATTCGATTTCTTCTTTCTGAAAGTGAGCATAGCGATAGCGCCTCACGTTGACTGCCTCAATTCCTACCTTGAGGTTAGTGATCGACTGGTCGGCGCTTCAAATAATTCGCCAAAGCCTTCGAGTAGCTCGCGCAGCTCAGGCGGGGGTGGTTTGACCGTTCCAGTCGCCTCAGGAAGACACAAGGCCCAGACGGCCACGTCCCTCGATTGAATTAGCTGGGTTTGATTGTCCCGAACAGTGGACGGGTGGATTCCTTCGAGGGTGACCCAGCGCCCTTCGTGTTTGAAGTGGAGGGTGAGTTGTTGCCAATCAATGGTGATTGGGCTGAACTGCCGTAGCCATTGTACTCCCAAAACTAGGTCAATGCCCTCGATCGGAAACTCATAGAGATCCACCCCTATTTGTTCTCCATGGATGTCGAGGGTGATTCCTTCGTAGCATCTCTCGCAAGATAAGAAGTCCCCGTTAGCTACCTTGATAAGCCTAGCCCTTTTGCAACGTTACTGTTGATGAAGTTGTGTGACGAACCACTATCAACCAAGGCCACTAGCGCGTCTTGCTGCAATTTGACGGACAAGCGATGGTCGTTGGGTTCGAAACACCGGTGAGTGCGAACAATGAGACTTCGGCCTCAGGTGGCTTCGGCGTCCGCCCTTGTGATTCGAGGGACTCACAGTTGGCTGAAGTTGCACGGCAGACATTGGGACAAACGCGTTCCGGTATTGGCGGCGCGTGCCTTGGGAGCGGTCTCGAGCTCGGTTCCATCGAACTGGGTTGTGATACCAATTGATGCGGAACGGACGGGTTTCTACGAACTAAGGAAAATAAGAGCTAATTCTGGGAAACCAACTTCCTTAAGACAACAATAATGATAGTGACGAGTTAGTTCGTGAACGCAAGTTGGGCTTGGGTCGGCGGTTCGACCGCCGTGGCCCATGCACGTCCTCGTCCGCCACCCCGGTCTCGTCGGCCGGACCTGGTTCCCCTCGTGGCGCCTCCTCTTGTGGATCCTCATCCTCCTGGGCTCGTTCCTCATCAATATCATAAGCTAAAAATTTGGTTAAGCATGACCATTATTACAAATTCTGCTACTGAATTCTCCCTCCGTTCTTGCAATAGATATGGTGACTATGTACTTGATACTTAAGAAGACCCAAACTGGGTATGCCCAGTTTGCTGTAGGATTTGCAACTATAAATTTCGTCGACAAGCGAAAGAGTGTGCTCCCAGTAGAATTTTGTATGGACAGGTAGGTAAGTGAATGCTGAAATCTGACATTCTAATGCTAGCGGCACTATCCACATAAACCGACTTTGAGACTGTTTTTGCTGAGATGTGCATTTGAAAGTTTCTATATATATGATCGTAATTCATTGTCTATAATGTTATTTTGATCGCAATTCATTATCTAAAGAATGATACAAAATTCACATACACGTTCCATACTCCATCGGCCGACGGGCCGGGACCAATGCTAGTAGGACTAAAAGCCGGAGTACTATACTAATTAGTAATTACTAGGTTCATGGTTGGCAAAACCTGAAAAAGTCTAGTAACTCCTCACCACTACCTATTCCTTTGAAAATAATAGTGATAAAATTAGAGAGAAGTTCCTGCTACAAAATTGTTCCTCGTAAAGTAAGGGACTAGATACTATAACAACACTTCTTTTGTTGTTATTGTAACAACACTAGTCTCCAACCAATAGGAAGCTAGGATTGTGATGACTTTTAATTAGATGAGTTGACTTAGTGTAAAATCAAAGCAGGGGTATAATTGTCATTATGAAAAATATGTTTAAATAATAATTAAATTTTTTTTATTTTTGGACCAAAATTTTGGTCGCCGGAATTTGGTTGCGGTCACCGGAATATGCTTTTTTGTCGCCGGAATATGCTTTTTTGTCATCGGAATATACTCACCGTCGCCGGAATATGCTCACCGTGGTCGGAATATGCTTACCGGCGTCGGAATCTAGTCATCGGGACCGGAATATGCCTATCGGCGCCGGAATCTACTCACTGACGGTCATCGGAGTTTGGTCAACGGTCTTTGTTGACCGGTCAACGGTCAACGACCACCCAATGTTATGGTCTGCATTGTGACAATTATGGTTTGGTTTCTCATATTTTTGTATGCCTTTTGTGGTTTGCTTTATCGTGTTTGTGGTTTGCATTAAGAAGTTTCTGGTTTGCTTTATCGTGTTTGTGGTTTGCATTGAGAAGTTTCTAGTTTGCTTTCAAAAAATTTGTGGTTTGCATTGAGGGGTTTCTGGTTTGTTTTAATATATTTGTGGTCTGTATTGGGACGTTTATGGTTTGCTTTTTTGTGGTTTGATTTATTGTGTTTGTGGTTTGCATTAGGAGGTTTCTGGTTTGCTTTCGAAAATTTTGTGGTTTGCATTGTGAGGTTTCTGGTTTGTTTTAGGAGATTTGTGGTATGCATTCGGAGGTTTCTGGTTTGCATTAAGAAGTTTCTGATGTGCTTTCGAAACTTTTGTGGTTTGCTTTGCGAGGTTTCTGGTTTGTTTTAATATATTTGTGTTCTGCATTAGGACGTTTTTGGTTTGCTTTACCGTGTTTGTGGTTTGCATTAGGAAGTTTCTGGCGTGCTTTGCAAAATATTTATGGTTTGCTTTGTCGGGTTTCTGATATGTTTTAGCGAATTTGTGGTTTGCATTAGAAGGTTTCCGATATGTTTTTTGTGGATTGTTTTATTACGTTTGTGGTTTGCACTAGGGGGTTTTTGGTGTTAGAAATATTTGTGATTTTGTTTATTTTGTTTTTTGTTGATTTTAGTGACTTGTGCTCTGCATTAGGAAAATTATAAAATTGACTTGTACCAGATCCCTTGTACCAGATCCCAACTTTGAATACGAGTGGCTTGGCCTACTTACTTAGGATAGAACTAGTCCGTTTAATTATTTTTTATAATTAATTATTTTATAATTAAACGAAGCTAGACTGCTAGAGAGGGTTAGCTGTAACTGATTTGCATTCAATCCCTCCTTTATCACGAAATTATCTTCAGATGACAATTAACGGAAACACCGCCCACACCCGACAACTGATTTCCCTTCCCTCGCCATTGTAATTGTCGCGGATCACAAGTAGTCCAAGATGAAGAAGAAATAGCAATCGTCGCATTGCGTCAAGCAGGTAATTGCGTCAACCCAAATGGACGATTGTGACCGTCCCCAAGGGCGCGCGTGACTTCAGAACCTATTATCAGTAACTATTGGAAAGCCGGCGATTCCTCTAATTTCCGCTGGGGTCTGGATGTTAATTATAGGTCTTCCGACCCTTTCGGTAGATGGTGAAAATAATAGGTTGAAGACAAAAAAATCGCCGATAATTACCGGAAAAAAAATCGCCGACGGCAAGGAACGGAAGCAGATCCAAGAGTAGATAGATGATGATTATTGGTTGAAGGAGAAGAAATCGTCGGCGGTGGCGTACGAGAATGGATTAAGAAGAGAGCAAGGGGGTGAGGATGGGGATAGGGGCTCGCTCGAGTCTGGATGATTATTTTGGATTTTCATTTAATTTGTTATTTTGTATTAGTTTACCCTTTTATCCTTAATGAATCTTGTTGTTAGTATAACAACACTATGAGTGTTGTTATACTATCCGCTTGGGTAAAGTAATGAGTGTGTCTGTAAAATATGGTAACTTTTAGAGTCCATCAATAATGGGGTAAAGTTCGAAACCGAATGCCTAAAAAAGCAGAGCACTTGTTCACAATCAAATTTACCCCAGATGAATGGACTAGGTTGAATACGGATGGCTCTGTTTTCGGAACGCAAGGGGGCATTCTTAGAGGGAGTGACGGAAGATTCATTAAATCTTTTGCCTTAAATCTGGGCGGAGGTTCAATTACACACGCAGAGCTTGCAGGGATGGTTCATGGACTCAGTATGGCTTGGAATGCATGGCTTCGAAAGTTAGTTGGGCAGACGGACTCTGTTGCAGCGATCGATCTCATTCAGTCCGCGCCAGCTCGCAGTCCTCATCACATACTTGTGTTCGAGGCGAGAAGACTCCTGAACCTGGATTGGGAAGTTAACATCATCCACGTAGTTCGTGAGACCAACTTTGTTGTTGACTATTTGGCCTCACTTGGCCATTTGCTACCTGTTGGAATTCACCTTCTCGATGTTTCGAGCCCTACTCTGGGATACTGGTTGTACTTTGACAGGATTGGAGTACAAACGACTCAATGAGTTAATAATTAAAGTTTAGAGCGCCTCTTTGCGCTCTGTTTCTCACCCAAAAAAAAAAAAACGAAGAGGAGGAACTGCCAAACTCGTGAAGTAGTGTTTAAGTTTGAATAGTACTAGGTAGATTTTGTGTCGTGCCTCACTGC